AAAAAAACAAAAAAAAAAAAACAGTAAAGACTGTTGTAGGAGTGTGGGCCTTAGTTCAGCGCAGAAGACTTGCCTAGCATGCCAAAACAATGTGGTAAAGGACATCTTAATAAGTTAGAGTTTAGGGGGTATCTCAGACCCTAAGACCCTGTGTTCCATCCCAGCACTCCACCGCCACCACATAAAAAGTTACATATCTCTCTTTTTTTTTTTTTTTTTTTGGTTGTGGGGAAGGACAGGATTGAATCCAGGGATGCTTTACCACTGAGCTACATCCATACATCCACAGCCTTTTTATTTTGAGACAGGGTTTTGCTAAATTGCTTAGGGCCTGGCTAAGTTGCTGAAGCTGGCCTCAAACTTGCAATTTTCCTGTCTCAGCCTTCTGAGTGGCTGAGATTGCTGGCATGTTCCACTGCCCCACTATTTATAGCTTCTTTCAAAGTGATCATGATAATTATTTTGGTTCTTCATCAGGGGCTTTAAGTACCTTCATTATGTCAATTATGTCATTTAATTGACCACCTGTCAGCCCTGCTGGTAAGGTGGCATTGTGCCTGTTATATAAGCCTATGATCAAGCCTCTGAGGACAGGAGTCAACTTCTCAACTTCGGATGGCAGGCACCAAGGGGTGTCTATACTCCCACTGGGCAAGCTGGCACAGGTCAGAGATGTCAGTTTGCAGACCCTCTGGGCTCACCAGATGTGTGACCTTGGGGGAATGAATCTCTAGGTCTCAGTTTTCTCACCTGGGACTAATGGGAAGACTAAAGGCATACAGGCAGAGCCTGGCAAACTGCCTAGCAAATATGAGCCGTTGTTTGTTAGTATAATTATCTTTGTGCCTTCCTGGAGGCACCCCTACCTGAGTCTTCATCCCTATCTTTAGTCTTGGAGGATTCGATCCTGGGCCCCTGGGGAAAGTGGCACTGTTTCTGCAACCTGGGCAAACAAGAACGCAGCCGCGAGGTGCTGGGCACAGCTACAGATCCCATGGTGTTCATGGATCGAGAGAACCTGGTCCAGGCGAGGCCCTGCAGGCAAAGGGACTGTCCATCCTGCAAGCCAATCAACTGCAACTGGAGGCCCTGAACCCAGGTGAGAGACTGGCATAGAGGAGGCAGGCAGGGGCAGAAGCAACTGGCAAGGCCATGGGTCCCAAAGGAGGGGAGGGAAAGAGAAAGGGAAGTGCTTGTAGAGGGTGTGAGGCTAGTAAGAGGAAGGAGATAACTGGGGCCCTAAATCTGAGTCTTGAGGCCAGTAGAGACGGGCGAGCTGAGTCAAGACCTCTGAGTCAAGAGCCTCCAGGTGGGGTGGTGCACCCGGTAATCCCAGCAACTTGGAAGGCTGAGGCAGGAGGATTGGGAGTTCAAAGCCAGCCTCAGCCAAAGCGAGGCACTAAACAACTCAGTGAGACCCTGCCTCTAAAGAAAATACACAATAGGAATAGGGCTGAGGATGTGGCTCAGTGGTTGAGTTCTTGGCTAGCAATGTGTGAGGCCCTGGGTCTAATCCTCAGCACCACATAAAGATAAATAAATAAAATAAAGGTAATTGTGTCCATCTACAATAAAAAACAACAACAACAAAAAGCCCTCCCTGATGTCCAGGAAGAAAACAAAAAGGTGGTGTGCACTGGAGGGATAGGGGAGATGGGGAAAACTAGGAAATTGATGGCGGCGCATGGCTCCGATGAGCGGGAACCCACAGGCAGAGGACATGAACCCTACAGAGTCCAAGGGATAGAAGGAGAGGTGCGGCAGGAGTGGCAGAGGGGCCTGGGATGGGAGAGCAGAAGAAAGGAGGGTGATGGGTTGAGGAGGCCTGAGACTCTATAAGCAGGAATCTGCTGTTGTGGATCTCCATTAGGAGTAGGGGAGGCTTGGCCCTAATAAGAGTAGGAGGCAGAGATCCTGGTGGCAGGGGGGATACAAGTTAACGGCCGAAAGTGAGAGTTTAGGGACTCCAACTTGGAAGGCCTGACAGAGAAACAATGGGAATACATTGTGCAGAAAACACAGTTTTCAGAATGCGTATATAAGGGCAGGAACCATGAGAATAAGGGCCCAGTGGTGCGGAGAGCAACGGACTGGGAATGATATTTGGCCTTCTTTGCCCCAAAACAGACTCAACTGAGCTGCGCCTCAGTTTCCCCTTTACTTTCCTCTTTTTTCAGCAGCGTCCACGAGCAAGGCACAAGAGACCCCGGGACGGAGCTCGGAAAGTGACCTGGTGCAAAGCACACCCTCCGTTGCCTCCCGTGGGGACTACAATTCCCAGGAGGCTGCTCGGCAGCGGCGTCGGCGCTGCATGCGTAAACGTCCGCGCCGGCGGGAGCGTCGGGGGCGTGTCCCGCGCGCTGATTGGTCAGGATCCAGCGCTGCTGTGGAGCCCACGGCAATCGCGCGCCAAGGCCAGCGCCTGCAGCGCTCCTTCTTGCAGCTGGCGGCGGCCGCTGAGGGAGTATGGATTTCAGCGAGTTGGAGAAAGACAATACAGGCCGCTGTCGCTTGAGCTCGCCAGTGCCCGCCGTGTGCCGCAAGGAGTCATGCGTTCTCGGCGTTGATGAAGCGGGTCGGGGCCCTGTGCTTGGTGCGTCCCTAGGGCCAGGGAAGGGGAGGGGCGTAGTAAGGGAAAGACAGTCGCCCTGGAACCTGAGTCGGGATTGCATCCAACCTGGGGAAGCGTGATGACCATGAGTTATAGTGGGATGACTATGACATCGGTGGTGGCACTGAACAAAGCAGTGGTGATGGAAGAGGGCTGGTGGCTGACACGGACTCACTAGTTGGACCCTTGTTCCCAGAAATCTTGACATTTCTCCTCCCCAGGGCCCATGGTCTACGCCATCTGTTATTGCCCCTTGTCCCGCCTGGCAGATCTGGAGGCTATGAAAGTGGCAGGTGAGCCTGAAATACACTTATGAGGACGGGGTTCCTGGGCATGTGCGGGGGGGGGCAGGTGAGAAATCTAGGGGAAGAGCAGGAACTGGGAGAACAAGCTGCCCCCCTTTTCTCCAACTCTCCTCCCAGACTCAAAGACCATGTCGGAGAGCGATCGGGACAAGCTCTTTGCCAAAATGGAGGAGAACGGAGACTTTGTGGGCTGGGCTCTGGACGTGCTATCTCCAAACCTCATCTCTACCAGCATGCTTGGGCGGTGAGGGGTGCTTCAGAGGGGCTGGGGTGGAGGGGTAGGCCAGCATGGCCTAGGTGGGCCCTGTGGCTGGACTGGGTTTAACTGAGCTCTACCCACCACTGCAGGGTCAAATACAACCTGAACGCCCTGTCCCACGATACAGCTGCTGGACTAATACAGTATGCATTGGACCAGGGTGTGAGAGTCACCCAGGTGAGCTGACTGTTGGGTTGCCTCTATTTAATCATCTTTGGATGAAATGGAGGTTACCAAGTGCAGTGTGGCTTGGGGATAGAGCTCAGTGGTAAGAGTATGTGCAGGGCCTTGAGTTCAATCCCCAACATCAAGAAAATAAAGAGATTATAATTGTTTTAAGAAAAAAGAATGTGCAGTGGACAGATTCAACATCAGATCATCAGCAGTGCCTCAGGCATATTCATTGCTGCCACTGAATCCCTGCTTCTGTTCCTGACCTAAATGTGTGCTCCATTCCTGTCTAACCTGAACCCCTATTCTAAAGGTCTAGAACGAGTCCCACGTCTGTCCATCTTCCCACAGCTTCTGTCCTAGCCCGGTGTACCCTCTGCAACCTGGAAATCTGCCCTGCTTCCTCCCTGATTCCCCCACCTTCATCCCCTTCCTCTCCAATCTGTTCCCCACACAGCAGACGGTTGTCTTTGTGAAATGTAAATCATGACATTTAATTTTATGATCACAGTGGAAATTAAATCAGGAAAATTGAGTCAAGTGGGGGAGAATGAGATTAAATTATCAGAGAAAAACATAAGTCAGCATTGCATCAATTGCTCTGAGTCAAAGACCGTAGGCTTTGTGAGAATTACCAGGGGAAATAACTCTGACACAGGAAATGTAGCAGGCAGACTTTGCTGAGGAAGTGGCTGAGGCCCCAACCCTGAATGCAGAGCTGGTGGTGATGCTATACTTAGGGTTTCAAGGCTTAATCTGGAGAAACAGATGGTCAGCTGGTACACAAAAAGTAAATATGATTTCTGAAAATGATAATTTCCATAGAGGCACCACTTAAACCATCAGCTCCTTGACCTCACTTCTATGCTTCAACCATGGAGCCTCCAATCAGTTGTTCAGCAACATCCACATGGTTCAACCTCAGGGCCTTTGCACTGGCTCTTTCCTCCTCCTGGAACACTCTTTCCCAGATCTCCACATGGTTTATTTCCTCACTTCCTTCAAGTCTCTATTCAAATATCACCACTTTAGATCTTCCTTGTCAGTATTTAAAATTATAACCCCTTTAAACTTTTTCCTGTTCTGTACTTATCCTGGGTTTTGTCTTTGCCCTCAACAAGATTTTCACCCAACAAAGGCCGAGATTTTTCTGTAGTTTGTTTGCTGCCATGTCCTTACTATGTACGACAGCATCTGGCATGCACTAGGTGCTTAATAAGTGTGCAGTGTCTGCAGCATGATCAGGCAAAGCCTTTTGTGTGTGTGTGTGTGTGTGTGTGTGTGTGTGTAGGGTTGCTGAGGATGGAACCCAGGTCTTTGTGCATTCTAGGCAAGCACTCTTCCACTGAACTGCATCCCTAGCACCAACAAAATACCTTTTACATTTAATAAAAGTCAATGTCAGTCTGGGAAAAGGGCTCAGTGGTAGAGCACTTTCCTGGCATGTGTTAGGACCGAGGTTCCATTCCCAGCTCCCTGAGGAAAAAAAAAGAAAATGATTGTGGGAATTGAAAACAGCAAGTACAATGGCTGAGAGGTTGGATCCTTTGCACAGTTGTTTTTCCAGCTGTTTGTTGAATGAGAACATTTCTGTCACCATGATAGGTGTTCGTGGACACAGTGGGGCTGCCAGAGACATACCAGGAGCGGTTGCAGCAGCGCTTTCCTGGAATTGACGTGACAGTCAAGGCCAAAGCAGATGCCCTCTACCCTGTGGTCAGCGCTGCCAGCATCTGTGCCAAGGTCAGCCCCCCACTGACCGTGGATGATTTCTGGCATCTCTCTGGAAGGGACCAGCCTTGGCTCCCCTGGGGGAAGGAGATTCCAAGTTTCTGTCCTGCCTGCAGGTGGCTCGAGACCAGGCAGTGAAGAACTGGCAGTTTGTGGAGGACCTGCAGGACCTGGATGCTGATTATGGCTCCGGCTACCCTAATGGTGAGCAGATGGCAGTCAGGCCTGCTCTGCAGCTGCCCGGAGACCCCCCACTGTGGTGGTGAACACTGACATGTCGAGCACACTGCTGAAGGTTTCTGAAACGTTCTGGCCGCTCTGCTCCATAGCAGAAGAGGCTGAACCCCAGACACTGTACATCTGATCAGGGCCTCGTGGCCAGTGAGTGGCAACTGGATTCTAGCTCATAGGCTCTCTCCTCCCCTCCCTCATTTTGCTGTCTGGAGCCCCAGAGAGTGAGCGACTGAGCAGGGCGTGGTGACGCACACCTATGATCCCAGGGACTTGGGAGAGTGAGGCAGGAAGATCAAAAGTTCAAGCCAACCTCAACAACTTAGCGAGGCCCTAAGCAACTTTGTAAGACCCTGTCTCAAAAAAGGGGGCGCTAGCGATGTGGTTCAGTGGTTAAGTGCCCCTGGGTTCAATCCCCAGTACCTGCCACTACCCCTCCAAAAAAAAGGGCGGGGGCTGAGACCAAAGGTATCTGCTTGTTAAGGGGAAGGAGGCAGGAATGGGGGTCCTGGCTCAATCCTGTGGCCTCAGTTTATATCTGTGATCTGTGCTGTTCTCTGCACCACGGGGCTCCGTGTCCTCGTTATACAATGAAAACAGTCTCATACACACCTTCCTGCAAACTTCATGCATGCATCAAGGGCAGGTGTGAGGATTCAGTGGCGGAGCTGGTCGTAGCTCAGGTAAAGCACTTGCCCCGCATTCACGGGCAGGGCTTTTATCCCTGCAGTGCAAACAAAGATACAGTGAGGGTTTGGTAGTTGGGTTCAAGGATGGCTCCAGTCCTTTTGAAGCTGGGTGGGGAGCAGAGCCCCTCAGGTGATTGGAAGTCAGGGTGCCTGGTACTTGCCAGGCAGGGCTGAGCCCTGGGGCAGTAAGTCAAACATCTCAAGGCCCCGCTGAGCTGCTGCCCTGGAGAGAATGGGTGTTCCATTGTTGTCCTTGGGGGTCAGAGGCTGTCTCAGAGGCAGTCTCAGCACAGCTCAGCCAGGCCCAGAATGGGAGGGAAGGACCTGCCTGTGCCAAGGGCCTGAGGCACAAAATGCCCCAAGCACTCAGGAGGAAGTCAAAGGTGAGTGGACCTGGAGCTTGGGTGTTGAGACTTGGGGACTGCTGTCATTGCCTGTCCCACCCCCAGATCCCAAGACAAAAGCATGGTTGAAGAAACACGTGGAACCGGTGTTCGGCTTCCCCCAGTTCGTTCGGTTCAGTTGGAGCACAGCCCAGACCATCCTGGAAAAGGAGGCGGCAGATGTTTTGTGGTGGGTGCTATAGGAGGGTGGGTGCTATAGGAGGGTGAGTGGGAGGGCCAGGCCCCATCCCGGAAGTGGTCATGTCACTCTCTCCCTGCACAGGGAGGACTCCCCAGCACAGGACCTGGAAGGACCTGAGAGGATCACCGCCTACTTCAACAAAGGCTCCCGAGCCCGCCCCCGTGCCCCCCACAGATACTTCCAGGAGCGGGGCCTAGAACCAGCCACTGCCCTGTAGGAGGAGCCTCCTTCCTCCCCAGGCCTGCCTCCCCTCACCAAGGAGGATTAAAGTTGTTGAAGGACAAGCAAATGGAGGGGTTGTCCTTGGGGCCAGAAGTGGTATGGGAGTGACTTCAGCAGCCCGATGCAGCTGCTGCCTTTTGGGTAGTGTTGGACTGATTTGATTTTTAAAATACAGCCCTGCCCTGGGACTGGGGGGTAGCAGTGGTAGAGAGCAGAGCCTGCCCAGCACACACAAGACCCTTCCTTTGATTACCAGGATCAAAAGTCCTGTGCTGTGTAAGTGTGTTTCTGCATAAGGATGTTTCTTGAAGGGGACTGCAGGTACAGCTGAAAACTTCCTCTCACCTAGTGACCTCCCACATTGGCGCCCAGTACCTCACTCAGCTGTGTGGTGATGTTGGTAGAAACAGATGGACGGCACTGCCAAGGGAGAAAAAATGCAGCACCAACTGGGCACAGTGGTGCCTGCCTATAATCCCAGGGATTTGGGAGGCAGGAGGATCACAAGTTGGAGGCCAGCCTCAGCAATTTAGCAAGAACCTGTCTCAAATAAAAATGGCTGGGGGTGAGCTCAGTGGTAAAGCACCCTGCGTTCAATCTCCAGCACCAGAAAATGTATGCCTCAGTCTGATGCAGCTCACCGGTGGCCCCACTACCCGAGGCTGAGGCAGGTGGATCCCATTTCAAGGCCAGCCTAGGCAACAGCAAGACCCTGTCTCAAAAAGTAAAAAGGATTGGGGATTATAACCCAGTGGTAAAACAAAAGGCTGGGCAGCATGTAGAGTGGCTGTGTGGATGTACTGTAAGGCCAAGGTCATTCCCAGCAGTCTGTAGCTGCTGCATCTTGGCTCCATAACCAGCATTCTCTCCCCCCTCTCCTGGTTCCAGCTCCTGATTGTGCTTTGGAGGGAGCTGCTCCTTGCCTATTCCCGGTTCATGGGTTCAGGTGGAACCAAACCCCAACATCAGGTGACGCATGTTGGTGCCAACATCAGGCACCAATCCATAACCCAAAAGAGGCTAATGGCGCACGGCATAGTCTATCTTAGCCTACTAGGAAGAGATCCTGTCCAGAGGAGAGCAGGAAGACCATCATTTAAGCACCAGGATATAGATAGCTATTCCTGAAGCCTACCAATGTTTTTGGCACTGGGGTTTGAACCCAGGGGCACCTCACCACTGAGTTACATTCATAGTCTTTTTGAGACAGTCTCACGAAGTTGTTGAGGCTGGCCTCGAATTTGCCATCCTCATCCTGGCCTCCAGAGCTACTGCACTGGCGCCACTGTTTTGTCTTGAGGGCACTTTCAACTGAATTTGACTCTCAGCTGAAAGAGGCCTGCGTGCTACCCCCCAGTGGGACACTTCTGTTTGTTACTCTAGTCTTCCCTGAGGACAGGGAACAGGCCTGCAGTGTCTTAAGTGTATCACCTGGCACACAGTAGGCCTCTGCTAACCTCGCTCTGGCGAACATCTGAAAGGAACATTCCTCCCTTTTTTAACAGGTGGGGAAATGGGTTCTCCTAGGGCCTGGGGATAGGAGTAATGTTCACGGCTGGTTGTGGCAGAGTGTGTCTGTAATCCCAGTGACTCAGAGGCTGAGCCAGGAGGATTGAAAGTTTGAGGCCAGCCTCAGCAGTTTAGCAATACCCTCAGCAACTTAATGAGACCCTTTTCTGAAAAATAAAAGGGCTGGGGATGTGGCTCAGTGGTAGTGCTCGACTAGCACAGATAAGGTATTGGGTTTGATCCTCAGAACACATAAAAATAAAGATATTGTGTTCATCTACAACTAAGAAAATTTAAAAAGGGTGGAGTGGTTAAGCACCCCTGGGTTCAATCCTGGGGCAGGGAGTGATGTTCACTGCAGAAATCCTAACCTGTGTCTAGTTCCTCTCCCTAGGCAGGACCTGGGATGTGGAGGAGGGGATTGCCAGACACTGTCAGGTCTGCGTGCTCAGAAGGGAAGACCATGAATCGGTCTTGTCCATAAATGTCAGGGGGCTTCTTGGCAGGCCTGGCAGCACACAGTGGAGGGCACACCTCCTGTCCTTGTCAGCTCCCCTTGTGCCCTCCTATGCCCATCCATGACACCTGGGTATTCTGAGTTGTAACAGCAATCCAGGATAGAGGCTGTTGTCAGTTACACTCTAGTGTCAATCAGCTGCTAGCTGTAGGTCCTGAGGATTAGAATTTGGGCACATGCTAGGAGTGGTGGCACACGCCTGTAATCCCAACAGCTAAGAAGGCCGAGGCAGGAGGATCCTAGTTCAAAGCCAGCCTCAGCAAGTTAGCAAGGCCCACAGCAACTCAGAGATACTCTGTCTATAAAGAAAACACAAAAAAGAGGCGGGAGCTGGGGATGTGGCTTAGTGGTTAATTGCCCCTGAGTTCAATCCCCAGTACACACACAAAAAAAATCCTGTCACTTTGAGGCCATTCTGTTTCCCCAAGAAGGAGCCGTACCACGTGCTCTAGCGGGAAGCTTTATTTCAGAAGGAGAGGGTAAAATTAGTTGGAGTTGGGTCATTTCGTTTCTCGGATAACCTGAAGGGGGACCCTTCTGGGAGCCCCAGGGAAGGAGGGGCAGGGAGGGGGCCGTGCCTAGGGAAGGGACGCCTCTTTTGTTGAAGGCCGGGCGCCCGCTAGGGGCCGCTGCCGCTTCCACTGCCACTCCCGCTGCCCCCAGCGTCCAGGATCCCAGTGCCACGGCGGCGGGAGCGCTGGGAGATGGTTTCTCGGGCCCAACGTCCGGGTCTAGGACGCGGCAATAATGAGATGGAGATGTTGAGGCAATGACGGGAGCCAGGAGCTGCCACCGGCAGGATGTGACCCAGAACCGAGCGACAAAGATCCACTCCGTCAGCAAAAGTCTAGGAAGAAAGTGGCGTGGGCGCTTGAGTGAGCGGAGTCCAGATCTGCTGGGGGCGGTGTGGTCAGAGGCGAGACTTTGGGGAAGGCCGATCTGGACGTTTCCTTGAGGTGGGGTTCGTGGGGACCTTGGAGTGGGTAAGTGGGTCTCTGACTCCTCCAGGACGGTCTGCTGGCCAGCCCAGAGTCTGGGCTCTTGGGAGGCCATGGGCACATCCCAGTATGGAGGGGAGGCTGAAAAGGGGGAAGGGTGGGAGCAGGGTCCTTGCAAAGGCCAGTCCGGACTCCAGGATCTAGGCACATTAAGGTAGGACCGCAGAGAGGCCCTCTGCCTCTCGCTCACCTGCCCATAAGTGCGGCAGCGACCCTCGCAGCTTCTCTTTCCTGAGGGCCACAGCCAAGTCCGACCACAAGTAATATCAGCTTCGCAGGTGGCGAACCTGGAGGCGATGTGTGCAGAGAAGGTGGGTCAAGGCTTCGCAGCCGCAGCTAGTAATGTTGCGCGCTCCAAGCCTCGGCCTATCCAGGCACCGCGCTCAGATCCAGACCCTGCCTCTTTGGACCTCGCCCCTAATGCCTCATCCCCCCGACCACTGCCTTCCTTCCTTTATTATTTATTTTTCTAATGAACCTCCTTTATTTATTTAGCTATACTGGGGACTGAACCCAGGAACCTGCCATTGCTAAGTAAGCGCCCTGCCCGAGCTGCATCCCCAACGGCCTGGTCCCATAGTTTATCATCTTTCTGTGCACATACCCAGAGCCATGTTTCAACTGCCTTCATCTCTGCAGACCTCAGACCCTCTGCTCCAGCCAGCCCCTCTAGTTCCCATCCTTTTCAATCAGGAGGTACTGCCCCTAAAAAACTCCAGGTCCATCAGAGGCCATGACCCATAGCCATCTTAAAAACCAGAGAAGCCACAGGCTTAGCCTCTTTCTGCCTGACTCTAAGCACTAGGCCTCATCCTTTAGACTTTGGTCCAGTTAGGGGCGGATCATGCCTCTCCAAACCCAAGACACACCAACCTGGTCCTATATCCCGCCCAAACAGTAGGCCACGCCCCCAATGCCCCGCCTCTCCTACCAGTTCTGGCAGAGCTCCTCGCAGAGCGGCGGCGCCTGGCGTACCCCCAACAGCAGCAGGTGGAAGCGATTGCGGAGCGCGCGTTGGAGGTGTCCCAGGAAGGATTCGCATCTGGACATTGGGAGAGACAGGAAGGGGATGGGGCAGGATGCGCGCGGCGGAAGAGGGGTGGGATCTGGCCCCGGCAGGGGCATCTAGGCAGAGTTCACGAGGAAACGCTAGGGGGCGCGGCACTCACCCGGAGCTCGGCGTCCCGCAGCGCGGTGGGAAGATCCCAGGGCCTGATGTCTCTGGGGTGTCCATCTCTGAAGGACAACAAGGTTCTGGCAGCGGGAACGCCTGTGAGTCAGGGTCTTGGATCATCATGTAAGGTTGGGGACCTGAGGCCTGAAGATCCCCTAAACAGAGAAGACCAGGATTGCATCACTTCTCCTAAACATAAAATTTAATAGTCGGAGACCGTGGTGGACGCCTTTAATCCCAGAGGCTCAGGAGGCTGAGGCAGGAGGATCGCGAGTTCAAAGCCAGCCTCAGCAATGGCGAAGCGCTATGCAACTCAGTGAAATCCTGTCTCTGTATAAAATACAAAATAGGGCTGGGAATGTGGCTCAGTGGTTGAGTGCCCCTGAGTTCAATCCCTGGGAAAGAAAGAAAGAAAGAAAGAAAGAAAGAAAGGAAGGAAGGAAG